GCTCCCGCCTCCCGGGCCCGGCGCCCTCGAGTCTTCGGAGTTTGCGGAGCGCAGCCGTTTAAATTTAGCGCTTTGGGCTGCCTGGAGAGAGGGCTCCTGGCGGAGGAAAGATGGGGGCGGGCGCCGGGGAGAAGCGCTGCCCGCTGGGCGGTCGGGGCACCGGGCACCAGCTCGCACCGCCTACCCCGGCCGGGCACAGGACTCGGGGTCCGCCCGGGGGACTTAAGCGCTGAAACTGCCCCTGGGCCCCGCCTGCCCTTCCCGAGACCGGAGCTGATGTGGTTTCGCAGCGAGGGCCGTTGTTTTTGTTCTCCGTGCGGGGGGCTGGGGGACATTCGGGGCCGGGGGCGCGTGGCTTTCCGGCCGAAACGCGCTCCGGGCCCGCATGGTTCGGTGGTCTGCGCGCAGGGCGCCTCCCTGGCCTCCGAGGGTCCGAGCCGGCTCCGCCCAGGCCAGGCCCGAGGCCCCGCCGGTCGCGCTTGGGGCGGACTTGGGAGAACTCCGGGCCCCGGTTTCAACTTCACGGATTCCCTTCGTTTTCTCATGGTCTCGCCAGAGTCCGGGAGGCAGAGGCGCAGCCACGCTGTCCCCGAGTGTCCGCGCCCGGCGCGCGCCCCGTCCCCGCTATTGAGAACCCTGGAAGGTGGGCAGGCCGCGTGGCGGGGTGTTTATATTTCGGGGTGCCGTTTCTGGAGTCGCGCCTCCAGCTTAGCCGCGAGGAGGAGGGCGAGCCTCGGGGCTGGCGATGTCACAAGTTCGCTGTCCTTTCAGAGTCAAACCCAACAACAACAAAAAAAAAGCAAGAGGGAGAAAAAAATCAATAAAATCCACGTGCTCCCGGGCCTCCTATGGAAAGCCGGGTCTGCGGGTGGCCGGATGCCCGGCCGTGGGCTGGGTTTGGCTCCGACGGGACAAAGAATTTTCAGAACCGGGAGAAAAGAGGTTTCCTGAAGTTGGGATCCGAGTGGCCCGGTGGACCTCGGGGCTTCCCAAGCTTGGTGGCCCGAGTGGAGCCATTTAAAAATGGCAGAAACAGCCGCCGGCTCACACAGGGAGAGGCCAGCCCGTGGACTCCTCCCCCGTAGGCGCCCCGCCTGGAAGGCCAAGAACTGAGGGGTGTCTCCAAGCCCCTTCTGTCGCTGTCCCCAGGGCCTGAGAACCGGCCTTTCTCTGCCCCAGGGGAGGCCTGGCCAAGGTCCCCACCTCTACAGCTGCTCCTGCACGCCCACCAGCTGCTGCGCTCCCAGGGCAGATGGAGAGGTGGGGTTGCGGAAAAAGGGACCAGGCCTGGGACAAGGATGTCCTTTAAAGACCTCAGCGGTGGGAACCGACTGCAACTTTCCCTCAGAACTTCCCCAGCCTTTGTGAAGGCTCACCCCTTGGGGTGGGTGGGTGGTCTCTTGGAAGCGCCTCTTGGCGCATAGGCTGGTCCTGGTGCTGCCTGCCTTCTGAGGCATCTCTCAGTGGGCCCGAACCTGCAGACTCTGGGTTCTCAGTCACATGTGTGAATTGTTTGCACCTGGGCACTCCTGGCCTGCTGGTGTTCATTGTCAAGTCCGTTGTGACACGTGGGGACCTGTGGACACAGAGTAGAAGGGATTTTTCATGTGATTTTTCAGGCTGTGAAGTTTTCAAAGCAAGTCATCAGGCTTGTAATGTGAGGCCTCACGGGGTAGGTTTGAACTGTGAACCTTCCACACAGGAGCATTCATGAAATAAATATTAACAGAAACCAGGTAGAACTCTGACTGTAAAGCCTTGTTGCTTATGTGTCTGTCTGTCTGTCTGTGTCTGTGTCAGAAACCTGGTAGACCTCTGACTGTAAAGCCTTGTTGCTTTTGTGTGTGTGTGTGTGTGTGTGTGTGTGTTTCTCTCTCTCCTTCAGGGCCAAAAAAGAGAATTAAAAATAGGGTCCAGCGCACAACCTGGGCCTGGGGGCTGTGCCTCCCTTGACCTTTTGTAACGACTGCTCCAGTGTGCAGCTGAGGTTTGGGGTTGTTTATTAACGGTGTGGCCGTCAACCATGCGTTTAACCATGGTGGCACTTGGGCTGCCAGATTTAGCAAGCAGAAATGCCAGCCGTCTGCTTGCATTTGAATTTCAGATCAACAACCCTCACCTTTTTTTTTTTTAATATAATATGCCCCCTGCAATATTTCTGCATTTGAGTTTCAGATGAACCCTCTCTATTTTATTTAGCTATGTCCCATTCAATAGTTGGGAAATAGTGCAGGACACGAGCTGGAAAAAGAAATAATTCTTTATTGGTCTGAAATTAAAATTTGACTACTTCGTATTTCGTAGATGTCTTTGTATTTTTAAGCTCCTTTGTGGCACAGAACAAGCCCTGGTGGTGCAGCGATCAAAGAATTTGCGTACCAACCAAAAGATCAGTGGTTCAGACCCACATGTGTGCTCCTCGGACGGCGTGGCCATGGTGGGAATTTGTCCTGTCAGGGGTCATGAGCCAGACCTGCTCTAAGGCCAGTGGTTTGGGCTTCCCTTTGTGCCCTGTTTTATCTGGAGGACAGAGGGATCTGTGGTTCCGTGTTCCAGGTACACACAGTGCGATGGTCTCCTCAAGGCTCAGTGACTCCCGGGCCCCCCTGTCCTGCCAGGCTGGCCCCCCAGTCCAGGACACCAGTGGCACGGCCCCTCTCATCTGAGGCTGCAGACCCTTCTGTGGCCCGAGGCAGGTGGGAGGAGAAAGAAAATGGTGAAGCTCTGGGTCGAGGAGCCGAGAGGGAGTACCTGGGCAGGGGGGCAGAGGATTCAGTCAAGAAGTGGCCTCAGGGGTCAGGGTCCGAGAGTTCGAACCCTCGGCGTGTCATGAGACCAGAGAAATCTGCTTTCCACCAGGACTTCCCACTGCCCCTGGGGGACTGACCACCTAGAGGGTCTTCTTCAAGGGACCAGCCGGCCAGGCTGAGCTGCGACAACCAGGCCTAGATGGCATTCCCCAGGTGACAAGGGTTAAGCCCTGGTAATGAGCCTCGTGTGAGGGACTGGTCCCTCTGGTTGCCCTTGGACCTGGGCCTGGTGGGAGAGGGGAACTACCGTGCCTGGAAAATGTGGGTTCACATAAGAGCTTGTGAGATGGGAACATTGGGGTGCCTGTAGTTTACCTGGGAGTCTATGCTGGAGGAGCTTTGAGGTGCTGCTGTTCACCTGGGAACCTGTGAGATGGGAACCTTGGGGGCTGTGCCCCTGCAATGGGGGGCCTCTTATGGGGTCTTGTCTCTGTAGGCCATGGTTGGTGGGGCGCAGGGAGGTCAAAGGTGCAGCTTTGAGGGTGGCTTGGCGAGGTGAGTGCGGCCTGGTGGTCGTGACTGTTCCAGTGCCCACAGGACCCAGGCCTGTGTGCAGCCTGTGGTCTGAGGGGCCATCTAGAAGGGCTGTCACACTTTAGGGGACAGAGGGACAGATCGGCAGACTTTTTTAAGTGTGGAGTCTGATTTCTTGCCCCCCGCTAAACATTAATTAAACATGTTTAGTAGTATTCAGGTCAGAAACCTACCTATAGTGTAGAGACGCCGTGAGAGGTCATGGATGGAGCTTCCAGCCCTCGCTGGGAATGTTCTGGAAGGAAGGCTTTGGGGGCAGATCGGGCCTGGGGTCCATGAGGTATTTCTTGGTGTTCCACTAGACACCCCTCTTAATTCCCTGGTACTCGAGGGTACACCTGAGCCGCATGGCCCCCGTCCCTCTTTGTGGCCGCTGGTGGGCATTGGCCCGGACGGCAGGTCTGTGGACACTTCACTGTACACACGTGGAGATGCAGATTTAAAAAAAAACACGGTGTTTAATCTCCAAGTGACTTTGGGGACGCTGATGGAAAGGTTGCCACCTGGGGCAGAGGGTGGCCGAGAGCCTGGCTGCTGTCCCCTCCTGACCTGTGGTGGCCTGACAAGTCCCCAGGCAGCAGTGGCGTCTGGGAACATGAACCCTGGCTCACGTGGCCTGTAAGACCTGGCCCTCAGGCCCACTTCCTGTCCTGCAAGGTGTCTTGTGGGTCGCAAACCAGTGACCTTTTTAACATAGTCACCCCTTTGATTAAGTGGCCCAGCTGCGGGCTGAGGGCTCCTGGACAGGCAGTGGTGTTGGCCGTTTGCTTGGGATTCCAGGAACGTGTCATCATTGCGGACAAGGGCTCTGTAATAGCGGATGGTGCCGAAGGTGGGCTCTGGGGTCGGCTGAGCCTGGTTCTTGTGCCTCTTGTTAGGTGTGTGACCAGGGGCAAATGGCCTAGCGTGTCTGGGCCTCCCGTTTCTGTAAGTACAGACTGGGGCAGCCGTGGCCCCCAATCATGCAGCACTGGGAATTCAGGGTGGTGGCTCGTGACGACAGCGTCAGCACCATGCCTGGTCCAGGTACGAGGGGCTTCACTGGTCACCACCGCTGTTCCCAGAATGTCCCTTGTCCTTTCCAAACGTCTGTTACTCAGAGTGGTTAAAGGACAGGTGAGTGGGTTGTCCCTCTGCCTCTCCGAGGTAGAAGCGGGGTGATGGGGGCAGGAGAGGCTGCTCCCGAGAGCACTGTGGCTCGAGGCCTCGGGTTCTCTGCAGGTCCAGTGGGGAAGGGGACGCTGCCTGTCGCCTGAGGAACAGATCAGAGACTCTCTGGATGCAGACAGTCAAGCTGCTTGGCTACTAGGCAAAAGGTTGGAGGTTTGAATTCACCTAAGGGCACCTTGAAGGCAGACCTCAGAGCACTTGAGAAGCTTAGGGGTTCCCCCGAGTCGGAACAACAAGCCTGTGGTTTTTTTTGGGTTTTGTTTCTGTACAGTGCTGAACAAGTAGAAGGTAGAAATGGTCACTGCTGCTGGGGGCCTTTGCGTTCCGTTCACAGCTGCTTCATGTGATGGAGGGGACCGCCCTCGGGGGTTCCTCTCTAGTCCGTAATCACCAAGGGGCAGACATCCAGGCCTCTCCCCACTTGCTGCTGGGTGAACTAGAAAGTCAGCGAGAGCTGCTGGATGGTCACTCCGAAAACCACCGCCTAACAAGTGTCCCCTGAGCCAACGTGGCCCCTGACCTGGGATGACCACAGCCCCAGGGTGGCCCTCGTCCAGAAGGGTAGAGCAGAGCTGCAGGGCAGGTTCCGAGGCTGCAGTCCTTAGAGAAACACCACGCAGCGTCCGCCTGGGGAACGGCTGGTCACTAGCTGAGTGCTTTAACCCCAGTGCCACCAAAAGGGTCACTTCTTGTCATCGTCACTGTTGCATCAGAACTGACCTGTGGGTGACCCTGCAGCGGGCTTTCAGAGGCCGTAAATCACACAGGAGGAGATTGCCCATCCTTCTCCCACGGAGCTGCTGGTGGACTTGAACTGGATGCCGTTGGGATTGCAGTGCTGATGTATTTTTTCCTTCTTTTTTCTTTTTCTTGTTGTGTACCGTCAAGTCGGATCCGACTGGCACAGGAGGAGATTGTCCCTCCTTCTCCAGCGTAGCATTTGGTGGATTTGAACTGCACACCTCTGGGATTGCAGCGCAGCTTCTTGCCACTAGGCCACCAGAGCTCCCCAAGCAAGGCTTTATTTCCCAAGATGACTCTGGGTGGACTGGTTAGCAGTTGGTTAACTATTTGCAGTGCTCAGGGCTCACTAGTCATAAGAGACCCAAGCAGTGTGACACCAGGCCTCACTCCAGTGGGGAAGGTGCCCGGGGGAGCTTTGGGGTGTCTGTGGCCCCATTTTCCTCCAGCAAGGAAGGTGTTGTGTCTGGTGTGCTTTGGGGTGTCTGTGCCCTCCGTTTCCTCCAGCAGCGAAGGTGTGGTGACTGAGCAAGTTTTGGGGTGTCCGTGGCCCCACTTTCCTCCAGCAGGAAAGGTCCCCAAGAGAGCTTTGGAGTGTCAGTGGCCTCAGTTTCCTCAAGCAGGGAAAGTGTGATGCCTGAGGGAGCTTTGGGGTGTCTTTGGGGTTCACTGTTTGGAGTGTTCATGCACCCAGAGCACCCCTAGGTGAGAAAGCCTTTAGGGGTCAGTGGCCCATGAAGGGCAAGCACCTCAGAGGGTTCCCACAGCCCAAGGAGGTGCAGGTGCCCCACACAAAACAGTGTTTGGAGGTCACACCTCAATTCCGTGGTACCCCATCGTTGAACCTGTCCCCCCCCCAGGTGTGGCCCTGCCCCCCGTGGGTCACTAGACTTGACCAGTTTCCTCATGGAGGACACAGGTGTCCTCTGGTTTCCCAGCACTTCTTAGACGGCGAGGCCTGGTGTCTAGAGCCTGGACTCCAGAGTCCACACGTCTTTGAGTTCAAATTCCAGCTGTGTTTTCTGCTTCTCTTTTTTTATTTTAATGAAAGTTTACAGAGATTTTGGATTTCCATTCAGACATTATTGCTCACTTTCCTCCCTATCCACCCCTCCTCTTAGTTCACTCTTGAAGAGAGAGGAAAAAATTCTTTTGTTGTGATATAGTCCTCCCCCAATTCCCAGTCCACTTTACTGTGCAGCTCTTATTCTGAACTCCTGTCATGACAATAATACCTAATCCTATATTCCTTTTAAACAGTTCTGTCCCTCACCTGTTTCAGTGCAGTACACATTATTTATTCCCTCTTTTCTTAAGTTCTCTCCAACTCTGATGTCAGTCCTGTTTTACAACAGTGGCCCTATGCAGTATTTGTCCTTTTTTGACTGAGATATTTCACTCAGCATAATGTCCTCCAGGGTCACCCATTCTGAATAATACTGCATGAGTTCCTTGTTTTTCAATGCAGCATAGTATTCCGTTCTGTAAATATACCACAGCCTCTCTATCCATTTGTTTCTTGATGGGCACCTGGGTTGTTTCCAACTCCTTGCAATTGTGAACAGAGCCACGATAAACATGGGTGTGCATATATCTGCTTGGGTGTCAGTTATGGTCTCTTTGGGGTATATGCCCAGTAGTGGAATTGCTGGGTCAAGTGGTATTTCTATTTGCAACTTTTTGAGAAAGCGTCATACCGCCTTCCACAGTGGTTGCACCATTTTACACTCCCACCAACAGTGAATAAGGGTTCCCGTTTCTCCACAACCTCGCCTGCATTTGTTGCTTGCTGTTCTATTAAATTTTGCTATTCTGACTGGAGTCTCAGAGTTGTTTTGATTTGCATCTCTATGTTAGAGTTAGGGATTTTGAACATTTCTTCATGTGCTTGTTAGCCATCTGAATGTCTCTTTGGTGAGTGTCTGTTCATATCCTGTGCCCATTTTTCATTTGGGTTGTTTACCTTTGTCTTTAAATCCTAGATATAAATCCCTTATCAAACATGTCATTACCAAATATTTTTTCCCAGTCTATGGCTTCCCTTTTTACCTTGTTGAAGTTTTTGGATTGCATAGGGATTTGATTCTTAGAAGGTCCCATTTATCTATTTTAGCCTCTCCTGGTTGTAGGTTTTTCAGGATGTTTGGAAGACTGCACATGTGAATTAGAGCTTCTAAAGTTCTTCCAAGCTTTTCTCTAATGAAGTTTATAGTCCTTGATTTTAGTCCTAGGTCCTTGATCCACTTTGAGTTGGTTTTAGTGTATGGTGTGAGGTGTGAATCTTGATTGAGTTTTCTACCGATAGTTCTCTAGTTCTCCAATTTTGCTAACACCATTTGTTAGAAAGGCTGTTGTTTCCCCACTTAACTGATTTCATCTCCTTGTCAAAAATCAGTTGTCCATGTTTCTGCTTCTTGAACCAGTCTAGACACAGAGCAGTTAGGGTGTCCGGGGCAGGACAGAATCTGGGTTGTGGGCAGGGCTGAGGGCGTAAGTAGCCTTGGTCAGTGATGGTCAGACCCCAGAGCCTGGTGGAGGTGTGGTCCAGAACAGTGGTGGTGCTGGTGGTGGTTCTGGTGGTGGTGGTGGTCAGGTCCCCTCACGTCGCACATGACTCATGGTGACCCTGTGAACCACAGATCAGAGCCCTGGCCTGGCCTGTGACCTTCTCACCGCCTCTGGCATACCTGAACCCATTACTGATACACAGGGGTCCAAACCAGACTCAGCCCACTGGTCAGCGGGCTGGTCAGTTCCCATTCATGGCCCATGTTCTCAGGTTGTAGTTGGGAGGGAAACTTGCCTGTTTTCACCCTTCAGAGTGGTCTGTGGATTCGAACTGCTGACCTTTTGATTAACAGTGCAACGCTTGACATGCTGCACCACCAGAGCTCCCTGGTGAAGGGCGACACCCCTTAGTATTGTTTGTTCCCCTAACTGGTGACTCTGGCATCACAGACTACGTCTAACACTGGGCGGCAGCTGTCAGGAATTGAGACCTGAAGCTAGGGGCTAGGAGATGGCCATCAGATAGGGGCACCCCAAGACCGTGGACATGGGGCGTCCTGCCAAACCTCAGACAGCTGCCACAGGTCTGGTGGTTCCTCCCCGAGGGCCTAGGTTACAGATGGTCACATGCACTTGACTTTGGCTTCTCCCAGGTGTCAGAAGCAGGGCAGCGTTCAGGACAGGATGGACACCTGGTGTCTTTGCTGGGGACCCTCCTCTGTCCCAGGAAGTAAAGGCCAGGTTGGTCCACGGTCGTGGGCTGGCTCTAAAGAGCAAATTGAGACATCCTGTCCTGATTCCCTCTGTGTCATCCAGAATGTTCAATGTTCGTAGCGGCATCCCGCCCACCCTGTGGGAGTGGTCACGGCTGGCCGCTGTGTGCTCTTCCTGCCAGCCGTGAGAGGCAGGCCACCACCTCTCTTTGACAGATGGGGAAACTGAGGTTCACAGTGGGGACCGTGATGTGCCCTTCAGCTTCTCTGTTCATGAGCCATGCTGTGGGGGTTCAGACCCGTCCCTGCGTGGCTCTGGGGTGCATTCCTGACCCCTGGACAGTCCCCCAATATCACAGCCACCCGCGGGGATTGTGGCCGGTGCCTCGCTCCACTCGGGTCCTTCCGCCTGTGACAGGCTCTCCTTTGTCCTTCACAGGGAGAAGAAGTGGGTGACGGTGGGAGATACGTCCCTACGGATCTACAAGTGGGTCCCAGTGACAGAGCCCAAGGTGGACGAGGTGAGTGTGTGGGGCTGCCTGCCACCCCTAGACCTTGGCGCCTGTCCAGCCATTTCCACACATACCATTCGACATTGCCTCCATTCTTCGGGGTGTCCCCCCACCCCACCCTTCAGGCAGCCATGGAGTCTAACCTTCTGTGAAGTGGACAGTGTCCTCTGTATGTTATCTCTGGCCTGTGTCCCCAAGCTTGGTCGATGAAGACACACTGTGAATGCAGAGGTGCCCACCCCCGGTGCCTTGTTTTTTTAGGGGAGAAGTGGGGACCCCATCATTGTAGCTCCTTTTCTCGGGGCTCCATGTTGAATGTGCAGTGGCGTTGTCTCTCGTATGTCTCACCCCCCCGTGTGTGTGGAGTCGACCTCCGTGGCTTCTTTGTTCAGATAAAGACGCAGGCTCAGAGAGGTGAAGCCACGTCCCCAGAGACACCCAGCAAGCGTCAGAGCTGAGTTCAGGCCGTCCGATTCTGAGCCAGCTGCCCTTCCACCGTCAGAGAACCTTCTAGTGTGTGAACTTGCTGGAGACAGGGTGGTACCTAGAATGATGATACCTGGGCTGCTGTGGGGTCCCCTCACCCCAGCACCTCAGGAGAGCTGGTGCCATCGAGACCATGAGAACAGAGGGAGCCCTGTTGACTGGGCTTGTTGGGAGGATTTAATGGACAGCTAACACCCCCCCAACATAGATGTGCTTTCAAGCTTGGGGCACCCAGGCCTGTGGCCCCCAGGGATACCAGCTGAGCAGGTGTCATTTTCAGACTAAATCAGGAGAGGTCCACTCAGCACCAGGCTTCCTGCATGGACTGCACCCCGCTCCCCTGGGGTGGCGGGCTCCCCCGGGGATGGAGACGCTTGGGCCCTGTGACACCCGTTCTTTGGGAGGTCCTGGTCAATGTTATGATCACTGGGGTATCGTGGGGTGTCAGGGGTCCCAGCCCTGGCAGGTGGAACCATGAGGCTGTGGTCATTGCCTCTCAAAGTGTGTCTGGCTCCTACCTACTGCGCCGTGTGACGCTAGGCCCCTCCCAAACGCCTGGCACGTCTGGAAGGACATGGTCCCTGCTCTCAAGGAATTTATGATCTCGTTGGGGGAAGATAATTATAGAATCGCATGAAACAGACGTCAGGGAGGTGCCAAGTGGAATGTCGATCTTGGAGAGCCTGGCCGTCGTTGCAGCGGGAGGAGCACGGTGGCAGACCCTGTACCCGGGCCTGTGCCCCACCCCCTAACCAGGGCCTGCACTGTCTGGGCCTGCACCCTCACCTCTCCCAGGCCTGTACTCCCAATGCCATTATTATCAGGACCTGCACCTCCATCCCCCCTTACCAGACCGTGTGCCCCCACACCCCCTTACTAGACCCTACGCTTCCATCCCCCCACCAGGTCCTGCACCCCCACGCCCCCTTAGGAGGCCCTGAGCCCCCATACTTCCTTACCAGGTCCTGCACCCCCCCCACCAGGCCCTGCGCCCCCATCCCCCTTACCAGGGCCTGCACCCCTGCCCCCTTTATCAGGCCCTGCACCCCCACCCCCCTTCCCAGGCCCTGCGCCCCCACCCCCCTTCCCAGGCCCTGTGCCCCCACCCCCTTCCCAGGCCCTGCGCCCCAGTGTGCACTGGTGTGGTGATGCGGGACTGGGGGCTCTGAGCTGGAGCGAAGGCGGTAGATGAAGATGTTTCTTACTCTGGAGGACGTGCACCTTCCCACCACCTCCCACCCCTCTTCCCTGGAGGGTGATCATTCCCATCTGGAGGTTGCATGAACCCCTAAACTAGTGCCCTGGGACCAACTAAAACCTCAAAACAAAAGCATCTCCTGAAATCTGAAAAACCAAATGAGGGTTTAGTTTAACGGTAAAGAATGTTAGCCTTGAGCATTAAGCTCTTGTAAGAGCTGTGAGTCTCCAGCCATGCCGCCCTGAATGCACCGGGTCTCGCCTGGTCTCGGAAGCCAGCTGGTGTCGGGCCTGGTTAGTACTTGGAAGGAAGAGCTCCTTGGAGCCAAGTGACAAGAGCAATTGGAAATGTTAGCCAGAAGATTAAGGAGGTCCAGTTCTGAAAGGGAGGGTACGGTGGGTCCCTGACTCTGTGAGTCACTGCGTGGATTCGACCCAGGGACGTTTCTATTTAGTTCTGTAGCTCCTTGCTGCTGTTAGTTTTAGACCATTTTCAATACCCCAAAAGGAATCCCCATTTTCTTCCCCCCTCCTTTCCTTCTCTCAGTCCCTGACAACCCCCCTCTACTTTCTGTGACCCTGGACTTGCCACATTTCTTCAGACCCCACTTTTTTACGGCATACATTGTCTCTACCCAGCCCCTCCAGCCCCCAGATCTCACCCCTGGTGATAAGCAATGTTATTAGCCCCAAACCAGACCCACTGTTGCCCGGTCCCTGCTGGCTCGCCGCAGCCCTGGAGGGGAGAGACCCCGTGGGGTTTCTGGGTCTGTACCTCGATGGAAGCAGACTGACCCATCTTTCCCCTCACACAACCACTGCTGGGGTTAAACTGCCGACATGTTGGCAGCCTGATGATTAACCTCCAGTGCCATCGGCTGGTTTTTATCCTTCCGGGACACATGTACACACCCACAGATACACCCTGACTGGCGTTCAGCCTCCCCATTTTATCTCCTTACTGCTAACGACATCCTGTGCACATGGTCTGCGGCCTCCCTTGTGCGTGTGGGGACGGAGAGGTGTTCAGTATCTCCAGCCCATCTCCCACGCTAGTCCGTGAAGGGCTGTCTTGTTCTCTGTGACCGCGGCGTTTCACTGTGTTAACTCGACAGACAGACTGTAGTTGGACTGCCGCGTCTTTACCTGACGGGCAAGTCAGGTTATTTCCAAACGGATTCTGTCCTTGCTGTAAAAGCTGGGACTTTACCTACAGACATGAGGGACCCCTCAGGTGGGCCCCCATCCCCCTGTCCCGCAGACCCCCTAGTCTTCTGAGGTTCAGAGCAGAGAACGCAGCCTGAGAGCCTGGGGTGGGGACACTTGACATCTGTCACTCACTTGTCATCAGTGCACCTGCTCCAGCTGTCCAAGTGGCCTGTTTCTCTCCTGCCTCTTGAAATCAAAGACATTCCTGTAGACAGCAGGTGTAACAGACCCCCCCAAATCACATTAGGATCCTTCTGGAGGTGCAGAGCTGGCCCCCCCACCCCAGCACAGCCCACACCCTCCATCCTCTGCTCCAGGGGCCCTTCCACCCCAGAGCGGTGAGGAGGCTCAGATCACTACCCAGAGGGGACATGGGCACACAGGACAAGGAAGCTTCCAGAAACTCGGGACCCAGCATGACTGTGGCATCAGATAGCAATCCAGGGCCTCCTGTGCGTGTGGCCGGCTGACCGGCTTGTCGCTCTGTTTTCTCCAACAGAAGAACAAGAACAAGAAGAAAGGCAAGGATGAGAAGTGTGGCTCGGAGGTGACCACCCCGGAGAACAGCTCCTCCCCCGGCATGATGGACATGCACGGTACGTCCTGCGGCTTGCTTTATCCGGCTGGTCGGTTCACATTCCAGGCCAGGGGCAGGCGGCCCGGCAGGTGCCAGCGGGTGGGCTGGAGAGCGGGCGGGTAGGCTCCGGTAGTGGACAGGCCTGGAGAGTGGGCAGGCGGGCTCCGGTAGTGGGCAGGCCCGGAGAGTGGGCTTCCGGACCCGGGATCCAGGGCCGTGGAGCCGCAGGCCGCCCTTCAGCCCTCCCCCCAGCCTGGGCAGGAGCTCACGGGTTGGGGTTCAGGGTGCACTTGCTGTGTGTTCATCCCCTCATCACAAATTCACAGACACTCTTCGACTCATGGTGCCCCCCGCGTCAGGAACTGTCAGGTTTGGGGTTTGATATTTTATGGGTTTGGATTTTTTCCAAAATACTACTTCATTGTGTTTTTGTGAAGGTTTATACACAGCACGTTAGGCCCACATTTAACAATGACGATTTAGCAAGTTCTGGGCGCCCCGTTGGCACAGCGGTTTTGCACCTGACTGCCAGCCGCCCAGCTCCTCCTTGGGAGAAAGCGGAGGGTCTGCTGAGTCCAGCAGGGGACCCCCGATGGGCAGTTCTGCTGTCTCCAGGGTCCCTGTGGGTCAGAAGCAGCCCAAGGGCGAGAAACCAGGCCAACTGCCCTGGGCATGTACATCCTCGAAGTGGCAGCTGATAGAGGCCTGTGTTACAGGCCGGGCCGGGCCAGTCGCTGGGTGAGCATCACTACTCAGTTTCTCGGTTTAAGTCACAACAGTCAGATTGGTACATATCTAAAGTCAGACAAAGGTTCGTGTTAGTGTATAGGGTGCGGAACCCCAGTGATGTACAGAGGGTAAATGTTGGAGTCCCAGCTGGAAGGTCAACAGTTCAAACCCACCAGCCTGACTCTGCATGGGTTAAAGAGGAGAGTTCACAGATTCGGAACCCACAAGGCAGTGCCCTCTGACCTACAGGTCGCCACAAATGGAAATCTGCTCAGTGGCTGTAAGTTTGATTTTCAGAGGTTATAAAGGTGACCTTTGTAACCTGGGGGCTGGTTGGTTTAAAACAGCGAGTCGTTCACAGACCTAGAGGGTGGAAGTCTGAGATGAGGGTCACAGCTCCTTCTGAGGCTCTGAGGGACATCTGTCCCCTGCCCTCTCCCAGCTTCTGGTCACCCCACAAGTTCTCGGTGGGTAGATCATACAAGGATACTTGTCACATGGGATTAAAGTCCCCTTCACTCCGTTATGACTTCATTTAACTTAAGAATATCATCAGAGGCCCCATTGCCAGGCAGGGTCATGTTCAAGGGTGAACAGCATACGTCTAGGGAATACCAAGTTCAGTCTAAAACTGAATCTGCAGGGCCGACCCATTTCTGGTCACATATTTCTGGACACACGCACACATTCTTGGCCTAGAAAAAAATTGAGCCCAGTACGCAGCCGTATAGAATGAAAGGGCAGAATTTCTGTTCCTGTAAGCTGTCCCCAAAAATGCCAAAACATCCCTGCTCGCGATTCAGTTCCAGCTCCTACTCAGCGCCCACCCAGGGTCCAGGGCTGTACAGGTATGTGTGAGAGGAGTGGCCCGGCTTTCTCTTTGAACAGCTGGTGGGTTCAAACCACTGACCTTTTGGTCAGCAGGCAACATGGTACGCCCTGTGACCTCAGAGTTCCTTCTGAGCCACTCCGTTGTGATATTCGGTTCCGTTAGGCCCAGGACACTTAACACGGGGGCTGTTCTAAGAGACCAGGGTTCAGTTCCCAGCCAGTGGGCTTTGTGTGTGTGGCCACTTCCAAGGGATTAATGGAAGCCTGATGTGTTGACCAGACGCTGGATGAGTTTTAGGGGAGCTCCAAGACCAGTGAGTAAGGCCTGGTGATGAACTTCAGAAAAGGGGCCAGTGCAGACCCCGCGCCTCCTGACAGAACCACTACCAGGCACGGGCGACTCGTCTGCCCTGCTGTGCATGGGTCACCGGGCGGGGGACTGGCTCTGTGCAGACGGCAGTGGCGGGCTCATCAGAGGTGATGAGGATGGCACAGGCTAGGGCGGGGCCCGGATACGTTGTTCATCGGTCACCTGACTTCAGAGCACCTGACAACAGCAGGTGGCATTGTGGGGGTGAATGTCGGCGCTGGTGATTACCAGGGGAGGCTCCAGCCTGGCCTGCCGAACTGTTGACCAGTGGTGCCCAAGACATGCTTGTCAGTGTCTTTTTCTCACCCATTTTTACCAAAACAGCCTTAATGGCCAGTGCAGAGTGACCAGAAATGACAAACCTTGGGTTATGGTGTCAGTTGTGAACTTGTGGTGCTGTGGTGGGGTCAGCCTTGAGCCGCTAACTGGACGGTCTGCTGGGGCGTGGCCTGGCAGCGTGTGGACGCCGTGGGGCAGGCCTGCTGTGTCCTGTAGGATTGCTGGGGGTGGGCGGATTCAGTGGCCGCGGGAAGTTCCCATCATGCACAGCAGTCGAGGGGCTGGTGTGATGCCCCCGCCCCTGCCTCTCAGCCAGGTTCGTGTCACATCTGCTTTTCCAGAACTGTCTTGTTATGTTACGTTGTCAGGTGCCGTCAAGTCGAGCATGACCCATAGCGATCAACAGCCCTGAACCGTGTCCTAGCCTGTGCCATCATCACACTTCCCGACACCTTGTGTCGGTCACTCTGTCAGTCCACCTGGCTCCTCTCCTTGGCCAACCCTCTGCCTTTCCGAGCACAACGCCCGTCTCCAAGGAATAGCCTCTCTTAGCAACATGCTCAAAGCATGTTGTCCTGGAAAGACCCTGGGTCCAGCTCCCTCTTGGGTAGCTCCGGTGAGCTGTCCTCGTGAGCCACGGGGGAGAGGACAGGCCCCGCTCTGAATCGTCTGCCTCGCAGGGTCCGAGAGGCCTGGGTGTGGTCAGCTGAGGAGGACGTGTCTAGACCTCTCTGGAGAGGGCGTCCTGGGGGTTGCGAGGCACAGAGTTCAGGGACGCCGAGTCCCCGCGGCAGAGAGCGAGGGTTCACCTGTGGTTCTGTCCTCCCCGTGCAGATGAGAACAGCAACCAGAGCTCCATAGCCGACGCCTCCCCCATCAAGCAGGAGAACAGCAGCAACTCGAGCCCCGCTCCGGAGCCCAGCCTGGCCGTGCCCGGCGAGGGCACAGAAGCCAAGGCAGACGAGGCCCCCGCTGACGGGAAGGAGCACCCTGGGGCCGAAGGTATGTGTCCTCCAGGGCAGAGCTCAGGGCGACTGCATGGACCCCAAAGCCTCGCCGGTCACTTGCACATGTGCTTCGGTGGATGGGACCCTGTGTGGGCCCCTGGAAGGAAGCAGGAGGAGGGAGATCAAACCTGGAGCACACATTCTCTTGGGAACCACTGACGAGTCCTGTAAACTAGTGTCTGGGAGGTGAGTGGTGTGGGGAGGTGGGAACCAGGCGAAGAGGATAGAGTCTTGCTGGGTTCTGGGGCTGACCACTGTTTAAAGGAGGATGGTCAGGGAGGTGACACTGGAACAGAGCAGACTCCGGTTGGAGAATAAGCCGCGTGGGATGTGAGGGAAGAGCCTGGGCGGAGGGTGGGCACTGCAAAGACCCTGAGACTAGAGGGTGTTTGGAGACAGGTGAGGGGGGGGCCCAGACAAAGACGGAAGTCTGAGAGGCACAGCGCCCTGCCGGGGGAGGCAGGGCTCGGAAGGCCTCCGCTGGGATCCTAGTTCTGGGCTCACATGGCCACCCCTGGGGTTTGAAGGAAACGTGACCTGAGGGATTGCATTGTCCACTCTGGTTGAGAAGGGACAGTTGGAGGCCTGGGTAGAAGCAGGGTGCCCACTGGAGTTGTCCATGTCGGGGAGGAGGGCAGCTCAAACCAAGGTGGAGATGGTGAGAGGTGGTCAGTCTGTGGAGATGCGTGTGTGTTGAATAGTTATTTCTGAGGGTGGTTTTTGTTTGTTTGCTTTTACTTGAGATTTTATTGTAAGTTTATAAAGAACGTGGATTTCTATTCATTCATTGTTACACATTTTCTTCCCTGTCCCGCCCTCTAGTTTGTTTTTTTTCTTTGGGAAAAAGTTCTTTCATTGTTACATAGTCCCCTCCTATTTTGAGGGTTTTTAGAGCCTAAATTTCAGGGAGCCAAGTGCTCTCACATGTAACCTTAACAAGCTTCTAATCCACGTTAGCCTTTCATATCCTCATTGGCTTTGCAGGAGAGAGGCGTTCTCCTCCCATAAAGATTTACAGCATCGGGGAAAAAAAAGAGGGTTGCTGTGAGTAGTAACTGACTCAGAGACTGTGGGTTTGGGTTTAGAATCTTTATAGGGGAGCTCTGGTGGCCTCGTGGAAAGAAGCTGCACTGCAGTCCCAGAGGCACACAGTTCAAATCCACCAGATGCTCTGCTGGAGAAGGAGGGACAATCTCCTCCTGTGCCAGTCAGATTCGATTTGACGGTACACACCCTCAAAATAATAATAATAATAATAATAATAATAATAATAATAATAATAATAATAATAATAATAATAATAATAATAATAATAATAATAGTAATAGAGTCTTTATTGGAGAACTGTGGTGTCTCCGTGGGTTGGCAGCTTTGGAAACCTTTTGGGACACCCTCGCCGTGCCCGAAATCGCTGTCAGACACAATCATAAAGGTCTTGAAGGGTCCTTGGTGACACAGTAGTTAAAGTACTCAGCTGCCGTTCGGAAGGTCAGCCGTCCGACCCCCAGCCCACTGCTCCGTGGGAAGGAGGGGACGGCCTGGGCCAGCTGCCCTCTGTCCTGCCGTGTCACTGGGACTTGGAATCAGAGGCAAAACGGTTTAGTTGGATTCAGTTTAAACTTCTTAACTGAAAAAAATTTTAAGTACGTACAAAGGCTCAACGCACATATGCCTATCAGGTACATTTTCTTATACATACCGGGTATCACTTTGTGAATTTTGGTGGTTTGTTGTTTTTTTCCCCTGGAACTGTTTGAATTGTAGATGCCTTGAGGCGTCATCCAGCAGCTTTGTAACGTAAGGGCCTCCTTCTGCATCCCCCCCTTAGAAGATGAACAGCAGTTTCCCTACTGCCCGGTGTCTGCCTGGCAGGTAGAGGGGACATGTGTGGAGAGACAGTGTCGTGGAGGACAAGGGGACCCGAGGGTGGCTGTGAGCACCTGACCCCGTCATCTGTCACGAGGAAGACCTTCAGGCTTTGGGGCAGGCCGTCTGGAGCTCAGGGGGTGAGGGTCCAGGCCGGGATGTCAGTGGTGGTTTCTGTGCACTGCCTGCCCGGCCTGAGGAGGCAGGTGGCCGTCACAGTGTTGAGGGAGAGAGACCACCACTCAACAGACCTCGCTAGCCACCACCCGACATTCGTCGGCCTCCTCCCGCCTGAGGCATGTCCTCTAAGTCCTTCCCCCCGCCCACGATCCTCGCCAGCACCCCTCTGGGTCTTTGCACAGGGCTGAGGGACTCGGGGTGGCATTTCTGGAAGCAGAGGGCGCGTGCACGCCTTAATGATGACAGGAGGACTGTGTACAGAGTTTCTCAGCATTGACATTGTTGATGGTTTGGGCTTTTTTTCTTTTTCCCTATAATGTTTGTGATTTGAGTGAAAGTTTACAGAGCTCATTGGTTTTCGGTTTGACAGTTCATCCATGTTGTGTTTTGCGACATTGATCGCAGGACCCGTGGCGGCTCAGCACTCTTCCCACCTCTTCCCTGTGTTTCTCATGTCCACTAATCCTTCCCCATACCTTTCTGCGTTCTGAGCTTCCCTGCTGTCCCTGGGCAGCCGCGGGCCTTCTGATCTTGTGTGGTAGGGTTGATGTAGGAAAGGTGTTCCTTCCTGGCAGTGTTGTCCGTTGCTGGTGAAAAGTTGAGCCGCTGGGCTGACTTGAGTTCCAAGCTTGAAGAGTGACCACGGGCTCCCGTTTGGGAGGGTCTTGCCGTCTCTATCAGACCAGCAAGCCTCGTCTTTTTTTTTTTTTTTAACTTTTACTTTTGTTGCACATTTTCGTCCCATTCGGCCCAGGACCCCCTCCAGTGATGCCTTTCAGGGCGGTCAGCTCCCATGCATGTGTGTGGTCTCAGAGGCGGGAGTTTGAGCGCTCTGGACTAATGCAGGCTGTGTCATCCTCGGCTGTGGAGCTGCCGTGTGTGCTGTGTGAAGCTGAGTGGCATCCCTGATCTCCACCCTCCCCAAACCCTGAGAGTGACAGCCAGAAGGTCACAGCTCTGGACATGGCCACATAACCCTCGGAGATACAGCCACCCTGGTTGAGAACCCCATATGCTAGAGCCTTGACAGCCTTTCCTCTGAGGCCACGGTACTGAGCAGTGTGGCCGTGGTGGCCCTTGGCCGTGTTCCACCCACCGGGCTCCCCAGATGCCCCTTCCTGGTGAGCTGGCTGTACAGGTGGGGGAGGGGAGACACGCAGGCAGGTGCCACCCCCACTCCGGTCCCCTCCTCCTGGGGGCCCTGGGCCTTGTCCCCCTCTCCTTGTTCATTGAAGGCAGTGGATTCTAGCTGCCTCCTTGTTAGGGGGTCGCACGGGGCAGCTGCGGCCGGGGTGGTGGAGGGGCCTCTGCTGGACGTGCTGTGTGCTGTGGTCTACACGTGCTCCTGCAGAGGCCACACCCTGATGTTCCCTTCCTCTGCTCTTTTGTCTTAAAAGTCACATCTGAACCCACTTCCGTTGTCAGTCTCCCCTCGCAACCCCCCTGTAGGACAGGGAAGAAGCCTCCCGTGGCGCTGGCCAGGCTGTGGTCTTCAGGGAAGCCGACGCCCTCAGCTTTCTCCCGTGGAGCAGCTGGTGGGTTCAAACCATTGGCCTTTCCGTTAACAGCTGTGTGCTTTAACCTCCGCACCACGGGGCTCAGCCATGGCAGCCCTGCTGTGAGTGCATGTGGCCCTCGCCCCTCTACGTGGGAGCCTCCTGGGGCCTCCTCCTGTCCCTCCAGGCCTGTGGGCTGCACCCCCCCCCATCCCCTCGGGAACAGAGAGGGAACAGAGGCCACGCGGTCCGCCCAGGTGGATAAACCTGGTCCGCCCGGTTAGGGCAGCTCAGCTGCCAGCTGCTGACCTCGCCTTGAACTTGTTTACTGCGGAGCAAGTTCAGGGAGTGACCTCATGTCCGAGTTCCCGGGTCTAAATATAGGCCCCAGGAAGGTCATCTTCCCTGGGACCGCTCCAGCCAGCGCCCTCGCGCCAAGAGCGTCAGGTATCCCCCCAGGTCCAGCCTCCCAGGCCCCCAGGCTGCTTCCCATCCCGCTCCCGGCTGGCTCCGGTGTCTCGGGCACCTGGCAGCGGAGTAGGGTCCCCAGAGGTGCTAAGTCACAGGTGTGATGTGGGTGTGGGAAGGCCAGTTAAGTTCCTGCGTGCTGAGGTTAAAGCAAACAGCCATAGAACATTATATAAAGTATTTGACGTGGAGGAAGGTTTTAAAGGTTAAACCTTTAAAGAAATGTCTAGCTTATGGGGTGTTGAAGTGATACCTCAGACAGCCGCTCCATTGCTTCCATTCCGAGGGCCCTAGATAGCACAGCAGTTAAGCACTTGACTGCTTACTGAAAAGTCAGCAGTTCAAGCCCAGTGGTTACTAGTGGGAGAAAGATGTAACAGTCCCCTGCGCATGGCCTGGGCAGGCGTGCGGGCAGCCCACTCCCCCGAGCAGCTGTGAGTGTCCGTGGCCAACTTTTGTGTTGGTGGCCGCGTGCTTTAGTCTCTGAGCCACCAGCTCACCTTTCTCTTCATTCTTCTTCATGTCTTTTCAACCGGGCCTGCCTTTTGTCCCTTGTCACCTCCACCCCGGGCGATCCTGACGGTCAGCCGTGGTTGCCCAGGCATTCTTAGCGTTATTGCTGTTCTTGGATGGTGGGTTCCGACTCGTGGTGACCCCAGGTGGCAGAACAGAACGGTCGTCGTAGCCCCGGTTTTGTTTCACCGTCTGGTTCTCAGGATCGCCAGGCCTTTCCTCTTAGTCTACAGCTCTGCTGAAACCCGCCCACCATGGGGGACCCAGCTGAAACCCCTGTGGTAGATCATCCTCTATCACGACCGCTCCCAAGTCCCCACGGCACGGCGCGCTGTCGGGCAGGGGAAGAACTCAGTGGGCTTCGCGGACAGGCGGGCTGGCCGTGCCGGTGGGGCTGTGTGCACCCAGGGCGGGCATTCATTCCCTCTGTGAGCTGTCTGGCTTTCCCCCCAACGTGCTCCGGGTAAACCTG